ATTTACATCAAATTAAAGTCCCCAAACATGTTGCCCTGTAATACTCCATTGGTATTTAAAAGAAAAAAAGAAACATAAATACCACATTTTATTTCATTTAGATGTGGTCCCGAGACCCTGTGACAAAGGGGTGTGGACTATCAGCGCACTTACATCATAGGTGGGAGGAGGAGTATAGCCACAGGGACAGTTGTCCGAAGATCACTGAGAAAAGCATTGCTGGAGTAATTCCAGTAGTGGCCAACAAACATTGGAAATTAATTTCTCATTAGTGAACTGGCAGGATCAATAGATAAATTCAAAAGGTATATAAACTTAGGAAATCAGTGGCCTTGCTAGAAGTATTCATTCCATGTTTTTGAACAATTTATGCTGTTAATTTTGTTTTACTTGGAGAAACAAATTAAATTTAAACTGTAACTAAAAGGAGTGGAGAGGGATTAGAACACCTGTCAGGTTTTATTGCTGCCTGTGCTCTCGTTAGGGGCATTCACCCTCTCTATTTGTCCTGTTGATCGTTATCATTAAAAGTGAAAGTAAAAGAAAATCACAAATTTTGGGTTAATTTCAGAACTGGAATAGAGGGAAAACCTTCCAAGGGGGACACTAGTTCTGTTGACAAACCTGGATTCCATTACTTGGAAGGATTTCCTCTCACTTCCTGTTTTGGCTATGGACAGGAAGTAAAAAAAAAAAAAAAAAAAAAAAATTGACGAGGGTTATAACCTTCTACCTTCCCAGTTGCTCACTGTCTGCTACCCAACTCTGCCATCCTTCCACTGGCTTCCACTCACCCAACAAAAGAAATTCAGAATCCTAACAACAACATCCAATACCATCCATAAATCTGCCCCCCAGCTACATCATTAACTGTCGCAAAATACCAGCCTAATTATTTTCTTTGTTCCTCCCAAGACCTCCTGCTCTCTAACTCTCTTCTCATCTCCTCCCGTGCTCACCTTCAGGATTTCTCCTGAGACTGCCTGATCCTCTGGAACTCCCTACCCCAATCTGTCCGACTATCACCTATTTTTGTCCACCTGTAGACTCATCCCTAAAAACTCATCTCTTCAGAGAGGTCTACCCTGCCCCCACCTAACATCTGTATTTCCACTTTCTCCATCAGCTCATCCCCCACAGTTATGACCTTTTGTACCTATTGACCCCCTTCGATGGTAAGCTCTACTGAGCAGGGCCCTCTATTTCCTACTGTATATGTATTGTAATTGTACTGTCTGCCCTCATGTTGTAAAGCGCTGCATAAACTGTTGCCGCTATGCAAATCTGGTATTATAATAATAAAAAAAAACTCTATCCAAAATGGTTTTAAAAGAAAGGTTTACTTTTGGTTACTCCTTTCTAAATACAAACTATGGGTTATTGCACTTTTACACTCCAAACCCTATGAGGGGGAGATTTACTAAAATTGGTGCACACAGAATCTGGTGCAGCTGTGCATGGTAACCAATCAGCTTCTAACTTCAGCTTGTTTGATAATAAAACCTAGAAGCTGATTGGTCACTATGCACAGCTGCACCAGATTTTGTGTGCATCGGTTTTAGTAAATGTCCCCCGCATGACTTTTGGGAAGGAATGATACAAAAAAACAGTGTAATTTGTAAAAAAAAAAAAAAAAACACTGTATACGGTTATATCTATTACTTTACATACACACCCAGTGTACAATTCTCTGTTGTGGTACTTAGAGAAAAATGACAAACAATTCACAGGCATGTTCCATGTAAAAAAATAAAACTTTATGAGAAAAAAAAAAAAAAAAAAAAAAAAAAAAAAAGCCCCCAGATCCTTCTGGGATTAACCTGTCACATATTCCAGGAGGCTGCAGAAGTAGGAACTCACAGCGGCAGGTGGGTGGAGCTGGCTCGCGTAATGGTGGGCCGCCTGCCTGAACCTGAAAGTGGCAGCCAGCTCATGATGACTGAGGAGGACCAAGAAGGCGATGAAGGACTCAGGCTGAGACACCTGAGCAGTGGATAAAAGCAGAATGCTGGATCTCCTGAGCAACTTAAAGTGCGCTCCAGCCAAACTTACAAAAAATAAAAGTCAGCAGCTGCTGACTTTTAAAAAACAGACAACTGTCCCATGATCCAGCAGTGTCCTCACCGCAGCCGCTTTCATCGGCCATCCTCGCTCCCCGGCACTGGCATCCTAAGTGTGGGCACCCGGTTGTGACAGCTTGCAGCTTCACAGCCGGGTTCCCACTGCGCCTTATGAATGGTCCCGTAGTCTTCTGGGACCTGTCACATGTCCCAGAAGTCTACGGGTGGCGGTGGGGGGGGGGGGGGCAACTTCTGCTTCTGATTGCCTAGGCGATCGTAATGGAAGTGGGAGCACGTCAAAATTGGGTACTTGCTCCCCAAAGGTGCCAATTCCTCACAGGGAGCGGAGGACCAGTACTTAAAGTGGAACTTCCCTTTTGAGGTGGCGCTCTGCTTTAATATGTGATTTGTGGACAATGCTGCAAAACAGGTAAGAGCGGGGTAAAAATAAAAGATGAAGTCAGGGAGGGAAGTGGCTTTTTCAAACCCAGTCTGCTTTTTTATTTTCAGTCCTGATGAGAAGATTTCCCTTTACTTTCTGTCCCATTGACACAGCAGAAAGTCATATCATCTTTTTTTAAATGAAGAGAAATCCTCTTAGACAGTTGTCACCAAAACAGGTGTCCCCATTCAAAGGCTTTCCCTCCATTCTATTCTGGTGACAGCTGTAAAGCCTGGATTTCTCATTACTTTCTTTGCGGCTGACATTGGTAGCCAGGACAAATGGAGGAGGTGAATCTCCCCAACAAGGACACTGGCGGCAATATAAACTTGGCAGGGGTTGAAAGCCCTCACCACAATATCCAAAACTATAAAATCAAAAAAAAAAAAAAAAAACATTTTCGGCAAAACCTTGAACATCATTATTGTACCCCCATGCAAACACTGTAGTAGCATTAGAATTATGTTAAAATAAATGGTAAAATCCATGCCAGATAGTGCATGAATGTTCTGGGGCAATGCAAATCTGTAGCACTGCTTACAAGCAGGGGCGGACTGACAGCTTATGGGGGCAATGGGGGATCATGGGGCCCCTGTGTCCTTGCCCAAACTCAAAAAAGCCTATGAGAAGAAAAAAAAAAAAAAAAAAAAAAAAGTGTACCAGGGGCATCTCATGGGGCCCCCTACTGACCCCGGGCCCTCAGGCAGTGCCTGAGTTTCCAAATGGTCAGTCCGCCCCTGCTTACAAGTATCTTTTCCCAGCATCCTAGGAATTTTTGATTGCATGCACTGTTTGGAAAAGCAAATACTGGCCAATGAAAGAGAAAGATCATTTTCACCGGTCAGGTAAGAAATTGCAATAAAGAGCATATATAGACCTAGGATTTTTCAACCTATGTTTATAAATGGTACCAACATCCCAAGTATAAGCAATATGAAGGAGAGAAAGTTTAAGTGACTTTCAAGATGTCACAGAAAAGACAGTGTATCTACAATATAATAAAAAGTATTAAAATTGGACTATCATCATAACTAAGGGAAACTGGCTGGAAAGCCTTGCAGCTTCACAACTGGTCTCCCACTGTGCATGTGCTAGCCTCGCTGTGTTTTGTGAATGGTCCTGCAGTCTTCTGGGACCTGCAATGTGTCCCAGAAAGGTGCGGGGAGAGGGGGTACACACTTCTGCTCAGATCTCAGTGGCGATCCAACCAGAAATGGGAGTGGGTACCTGTCAAAACCAGGTGTCCCCCCCCCCCCCCCCCCCCACACACACAAAAAAAAAAAACAAAACCTGCTTGAATTGTTAAAGAGGAGGGAAGGGAGTATGCAAACAACCTTTTGGGTGAAGTTCCGCTATAAGGACTACAACACCATGCTCATAGCTCCATGTTGCCTGTGTTTTATTGTGAACAATGAGAACACCAACTTCTAAATCAGGGGTCTCCAAATCTTCCAAAGAAATTACGTTTACTGTCCTTTAGACTTTAGGAGGGCCCACTGGGTGTAAACAATGCCCAATCCTTGGTATTGGGGGGGTGAAATAGTTGTGCCAGTGGAAGGAATTCCCCATTGTTGGTGTCAGTGGCAGGAATATTGCCTCAAGAGCTGTATAAAGGCAAGCAAAGGGCCACATCTGGCCCCAGAGCCAAAGTTTGGAGACCACTGTTCTAAAATATACATTGTCTGCAACAGCTTTTCTCAACCCTTTTACTGGAAAGGACCCCTTGAAATACATTTCAGGTCTCAGGGAACCCCTACTGGAATTAATCAGGAGTCAGCGGAACTAATGCCTCCTTACATTGGTAGCCAGTGGAAGAATGCTCCCAGTACAGTGGTGGTCAGAATACCATCCTTACAGACAGCTAAAAACATTGGTGTCATTCTGGTGGCTCTGCCAAGTGGGATTGGAAGTATCAGGCACCATCAGCCGGGAGGTCAATCAGCCACAGCTCGAGGAACTTCTAGCAACCTCTGGAGGAACCCAAGGGTTCCATCGAACCCTGGTTGAGAGTGGCTGGTCTACAGTAAAATAGCAACATTACTGGAAAAACATGAACAATTGATTTAGCAGGTTTCTATAAATCTTTCCAACCTCTTCAGGTGTTATCTTTTAAAATAATAGACAGGCAACATAGCGAACATGAGCATGGTGGTGTCATCCTTAAGATGTTTTACTATGTGTGAGTCTTGATGTATTACGCTTGATTGTGTACAATCTTATAACTGTTCAAATACTAATTACATTGCATGTACTTAGTGACTTTTCTTTGGTACCTCGAAAGTCCCTTAATCTTTCTTTCCTATATAGAGCAGGTAACAAAGAAAGAATTGAAGTTGAGTAGAAATAGTGCAAGCATTTATGGAATGTCTCGGGACCCTATTTTCTATATCCATCAGTGAAAACCCTGCACTTAGAATAGCTGGTGGCACTGTGACATTGAACAGAGACATTCCCCAATGAATGTTTCTGAAACACATGTAAAAATTGCATAAACTTACTTGTCAAACACAACTGCAGCGTAGGCCGTTTCTGCAAAGATCACATCCCCAGCCCAAAAATCTTGGGTGGCTTTTAGTCCTCGACCCTTAGCTTCGGAATTGAAAACTTCCACGTTCTCCATGCTTTGCAACCGTCGTAGCTAAAAATCAGACAAACACTGAAGAGAGCCTGGCTGATAATCACAAATTTAGTTCTTAGTAATGCCTCTATTTCAGCACCTTCACATTCCAGAAGAGCAGTCCTATAAAAAGGAACCTCAGTATCCCCTCCCTCCTCTTGCCTGTCCCACCACTTGGAGGTGACTGCTAATGCAAACACTCTAACAGGCTGCTGGGTCTGCTACCGAGCTGCTGCAGTGTCTAGAGTTATGTATGTTCTGCCAAGCTGCACAATGCACACCCACAATGATCTAGTACAATCTTCCACTTAACCTAAGGCTCTGCGAAACAACTTGTCCCTATTTTTAGGAAGCAGTTGCTCTCCGGCATCAAGTCACAACAGCTGAGAAAGTGTAGGGTAGACGCTGCTCTGCCTCTTTATAGACCCTCTACAGTTGGATGGACTTTGTAATGCCTTCATTTTGTAACATCAAAGCCATTTTTAACTTTAAACTTAACTTTTTGCTCCTATTTTGAGCCTCACGAGTGAACCAATTTTTCTATTTTCCACATGCAGAGATATAAATTTCCAAGCTTTCTATATGTCCTCTGGATATATATTGTAGAATTAAAGATGAAACCCAAAAGCAAACATTTATTCCATTGCAGCTTACCAATTCATATATTGGATGGACGTCTTTTTTCAGCCATACTAACTATGTAACTATATATGATGGCTGCATTCATTTTCTTTAGGCTCTCTCTTTCTTCTATATTCATCTAGTGCAACCTCTCTCAACCAGGGTGACCAGGCATCCTGGGGTACCTTGAGGTTTCTTCAGGGGAGCCTTGGCAAGATTTCTAAAAATTGCCCAAAATTTGTATAAAAGCCAGCGGGAGGAACAAGCCTGCCTTTTAGTTACACGAAGCCACAGGATTTCATTGTGCACCGTTACGACCTTCTAGCCGCCAGCATCCTGACAACCAATGACATCATCAGTTGATATCATCAGTTCATTGTGCACCATTACAATCTTCTAGCTGCCGGCGTCCTGACAACCAATGATATCATCAGTTCATTGTGCACCATTACAATCTTCTAGCCGCCTACATACTGCTACAACCAATTACATCACCAGTTAAGGAGGATGTCAGCTGCCTGCACAGCATCCTAGTTTGACCCTCCCCTGCCCCTCTCCATCAGTGCTGGAGTCACATTAGCTCAGTGATAGAGAAAAACTGAGGGAGAAGAGAAACATTGGAATACTAGTCAGTACCAGTGTGTAAAGGTGTATTTGCTTTGGAAGAATAAATAAATCCCCTCTAATGTTGGGTGTTCTTCGCGTGTGGATGTTGCTGCATTATATAAAACTATTAGAATAGTTTTCACATTTTAGAATGAGGTGTCCTTTTAAAATTATGGACAGTCTTGAGGCACCCCATTTTAGAATGGGGTGCCTTGGGACTGTCCATAATTTTAGAGGGTGCCTCGGGACTGTCCATAATTTTAAAGGGTGCCTTGACTTAAAAAAGGTTGAGAAACACTGATCTAGTGATCCTGACAGTAAGTCTGTTTTTCAAAAGAACAAGCTCTCCTTCAAGTGTATTAGTTTACAGTGATAAGACAAACAATTTAACGCTGGCAGGGGTGCTTAAAATGATCTGCTTTTATTTTTTCATAGAAAACCATTGACCTATAAGAAAAAAAAACAGTTTGCTGTATCTCATTACATAGTATTAGCTGGATTCACCATGACATTGAACTGAGACATTCTCCACCGAATGTTTCTGAAACAGATGTAAAATTTGCACAAACTTACTTGTCGAACACTGTGGCTATGCTGCCAGATGTACCAGTTTACCATGTAAAGTGGTAGTAAAGTCTGTTCTTTTACTTGTACCTACTGTATAGGAAAGCATATAATAAGGCATACTTGTACCTACTGTATAGGAAAGCATATAATAAGGCATACTTGTAGATACTGTAAATATCCCCTAAATGTGCAACATTTAGGAAATATTTACCTGTGCAGCAGCACCGGCTTATGCGCTCTGAAAGAATGGCATGCCCGTGCCATTCCTTCAGAGCTGTGTGCTATAAAAAAGTAATGCGTGGGAGTGACGTTTACACGGCTCGGCCATTCAAGCTGCTGGAGCCCACAAACCTGACAGAAAGACCAAGTGAAGATGGAAGCCCTGTCAGCGGTGGCAGCACACCGCTAGAGTGCTTCATTTTAAGGTAAGTTTCACATCTCATCTTCACTGCTACCATCTCCCTACTACTGCTCTCATCACCTCCTGCTGATACTTCACTCTCCTGCTGACCCAAACACCAGGACTGGAAGGCATGTGCGCTCGTGTACATCCTGCTCCCATCTTACTTTCCTCACCCTTCTCCTAACTTCTGGGGATATCTTCCGAAACCCTGGTCCTCCAGTATTTCACCCCCACACCAGGCACCTTCTTTCTTCCGTGAACAGCCGCAATCCCGCTCAATTTAATATCGGTCCCTGTGCTCCCAAAAACCACGCTCCCTTTTTCATGTGCGCTCTGGAATGCCCGCTCTGTCTGTAATAAGCTCACCTCTGTCCATGACCTTTTTGTCACCCGCTCCCTTAACCTACTAGCAATTACAGAAACCTGGCTTCAAGCAGCAGATTCTGCTTCCCCTGCAGCACTTTCCCATGGAGACCTCATCTGGACCCACTCAGCCAGACCCAGTGGTCGGAAAGGTGGTGGGGTTGGTTTGCTTCTATCCCCACTCAGCACCTTTCAAGTCCTCCCTATCCATCCCTCTCTATCCTTTTCTACTTTCGAGACTCACTGCATCCGGCTGTTTTCTCCCATTTCTCTGAGGATTGCAGTGATCTATCGGCCTCCTGGACCCGTGTCCCGCTTTCTTGATGATTTCTCTGCCTGGCTGCCCTACTTTCTCTCCTCTGAACTACCCACTATCATTCTTGGAGATTTTAACATTCCTATTAATGTCAACAACCTGGCTACATCCCAACTCTTCAACCTAACCTCATCTTTTGCATTAGCACAATGTATACAGTCCTCCACTCACTCTGATGGGAATACATTAGACCTTGTTTTCTCCCATCTTTGCACTCCCTACAACCTCACAAACAACCCCTTTCCTCTCTCTGATCACAATCTCATCACCTTCACAGTGTCCTCATCTTCAAACACCTATACCTCCAAGCGGCAAAACAATTACCCGCAGAAACCTTCACAACTTGAACCCTGCTCCTTTCCACTCTGCAACTGACCAACTCTATGACAGAATCTCTCCCCTGTCCTGGCCACTGCTGTCTATAACAGTTCACTTTCATCCGCATTAGACTCACTTGCTCCTCTAACACGAAGCATCAGGCCACAACTGTTACAACCTTGGCAGACTGACCACACCAGAAATCTTAAACGACATAGTCGTGCACTGGAGCGATTTTGGCATAAAACCAAATCCCAGCAAACATTCACCCGATATAAATCTTCTTTCTTAACATACAATTCCTCCCTTCATGCTGCCAAACAAGCCTACTTTGTCTCTTATTTTTTTTTTTTTTTTTTATATTTAAATATTTGATAATTTGCACAGAAATAATAGAAAAAAAGATAACAAAAAGACGTTTTCATCTCTATCATCATAAATATACGATTATTTCTTATAGTTTCAATAACCCCCCCTCTTAAAACCTTGACCCCTCCCCCCCCCCCGCTCTGCATTTCCTTGTCTTGTATCCAAAGCAAGCATATCCTATACGATTATTCTCTACGACGTTCTACTTTTCACTTTCTCCTACTTGTTACAAAATTTTCCCATTTTTCCCCATCTCGCGAGATATATCTCCAGCTTGTCTTCCTGTATATAATATATCCTCTCCATCTCCCTAGTCCAGTTTACTCTCTCTATCCATTCCTCCTCTTTCGGTATTTCTTTTTTCTTCCAATATTTGGGGATCAGGCTTTTTGCTGCGTTCAAATAGTACCCTAAACCTAATTTCTTACATTTACTAATTGATATTTCTGAACTATGTAACAGGCACATCCCAGGGTCTAACCCGATGTTCATTTCAATGATGTTCTCTATTAAATATATTAATTTTTTTTTTTTCCAGAATATTTGAATCTTTGGACATTCCCACCAAATATGATAAACTGTCACTCTTATTAATACCTTGTCGTCCAGTCTTCGTCATCTCTTCTCTACTTTTAACACTCTTTCTCCACCCAGTACCTCACTCACTGCTCACAAGATTGCAAATCATTGAAAAAACAAGATTGACGCAATTCGTAGGGGCATCGCCACTGAGCAGACATCCATCCCACTTAGCATACCTTATACTAAACCTCCCTCAACACTTTCCTCTTTTGACCTTGCTACTACCAAAGAGGTCACTAAGGTTTTCTCAGAAGCCTGTCTCACTACCTGCCCCCTGGATCCTGTCCCCTCACAACTACTACGGTCACCCTTTTCTTCCATCCTATGCTCCCTCACATCTTCAATCTTTCCCTCTCGACTGGTGCCTTCCCCTCCCCTCTAAAGCATGCACACATCACTCCCATACTTAAAAAGCCCTCCCTGGACCCCACCAACCTGAACAACTTAAGACCCATCTCCCTGCTGCCATTTACCTCTAAACTCCTAGAACGCTTAGTCTACAATCGCCTGAGCTCCCACCTCACCGACAACAACCTTCTTGACCCTTTACAGTCTGGCTTTCGCTCACAACACTCCACTGAAACTGCCCTACTAAAACTCAATAATGATCTACTAACTGCTAAAACCAATGGCCACTACTCCGTACTCTTACTACTTGACCTCTCTGCGGCTTTTGATATGGTTGACCATCCCCTCCTCCTCAAAAAAACTCTCTTTTGGCCTCAGACACTCTGCTCTCTCCTGGTTTTCCTCCTATCGCAGCGCTCCTTCAGTGTTACCTTCTCCATCAAGATCAATAACACAATCATCAGTCCCTCCCCTCATGCCAGGGTACTAGGTGTAATCCTAGACTCCCAT